AGTATTCCTGATATAGGTTGCTGGGATATCATGGGTTAATCAATTAACACTCTATTGGTGTAAATCCCTCTGCCTGCATCCCCCAGATGTGGTACATATGGTTGACGGGGACTTATGGATCCAGGTGCCCTCACTTTTGTGAGAGTCTTCTACGTCCCATCTCTGGACCCCTGTGCGACCCAGCTTCCCTTGACAGTAAAAGGGTTAAGTGTGGAGTCCCTTCCTTAGCAGGTACCTCTCTTCCCTAATTAGGAGAGGAGACCTGCGGCTTTACTGAGAGGCGTGTGAGCTCTGCAGTGACTAGGGAGGGAGGGGAGTACCCCTCCAGTGGTTTTGCTAACTGCTGAGAGCTCAGTCTCAGGCCAAACCTGCTGTGGAGCATCATTTGGAAACAGGAGGCAAGCAGGGGACCAGAGGGAACACACCTACTCTTTTGGCTGGAAGCCCACCTCTCTGTGGGTTCTTTGAAAAGCCCACATGGAACCAGCATATTTCAGAAGGGGCTACTGCAGACTGGAGTTGGTCAGGGCAGACTCCAAGTCCCTTTGTCCTCTGAAGTAGGTATTAAGCCTGGACTTTCAGCCTGGCTTCTGGGTAGGTGCCTGTGAAAAAGCCTGCAGAGTAAGCGGTTTTTATCTCCAGGCTTCCACTCTTTTTTCTCTGTAATGATTCTGGGAAACTCCAAAGTAATTCCATTCTAGGGAGGCTCTTCCAGCACACACACACACGCACACGCACACACAAACTGCTTATCTGTGTATGATAGAGGTACTTGGAACATCCATGCCTTCTCTAACTGTGCCACTGGGTCACTGGTTAGACACCCTCCACTTCACATTTGTCAAGGTCACGTTCTTTAGATGGTGAATGAGGGCACTGGCCATGTGCAGCCAGCCTCTCTTAGGGTCCACCCCTAGTGCCTGTGCCCTAGGTTGGGAGGGAAATGCTGCTGGTTCCTGTGGATACAGCATTCCCATCCCATTGGCTCCAATGGGAAGGCCTCTCTTTCCAGAATTCCTGTCTGTTCTGTGCAACTGAATGTGAAAGTTCCAGCTATGACGGTTTATACACATACTCCTTCTTAACCCCTTTCTCAGACAGAAATATCTTATTCTTCTCCTTTGCCTTTCTAGCCTAGCACATGCAAACATTTATCAGTTATTTAAAAATTGTGTTTATTAGTTTAATTTTATTCGAAAGCAGAGAGAGACAGAGAAACAGACAAGGATCTTCCATCTGCTGGTTCACTCCCCAACTGCTCAAAGCAGCTGGGGCTGGGCCAGGAGCCCCATCCAGTGCTCTCATGTGGACGGCAGGAGCCGAGGCCTTGGCCATCATCTGCTGCCCTTCAGGGGCATTAATAGGGAGCTGGTTTGAAAATGGAGGAGCCTGGACTCGAATCAGGCACTCTAGTGTGGTATGTGGATGTCCCAAGAAACAACTCTAATCAACTGTGCCAAGTACCTGTCCCTTATTACTATTTTTTAGATTTCTGTTTATTTATTTGAAAGGGGTGCGGGGGGGGGGGAGGGAGAGATGGAGATCCCATGCACTGGTTTATTCCCAAAATGCTTGTGATGGTTAGGACTGGGCTGATGCTGGGAGCTGGGAACTCAATCCAGGTCTCTTGTGTGGGTGACAAGGACCCAGCTGTTTGAGCCGTCTCTGCTGCCTTTGAGGGTCTGCATCAGCAGGAAGCTGGAACTGGAGTGGGAATCAAATCCAAGCACTCTAATAAGGTACGTGGGTATCTCAGCTGGCATTTTTTCTTTTTAAAAAAGATTTATTTTATTTTTATTGTAAAGGCAGATATACAGAGAGGAGGAGAGACAGAGAAGAAGATCTTCTGTCCGATGATTCACTCCCCAAGTGGCCGCAACGGCTGGTACTGTGCCGATCTGAAGCCAGGAGCCAGGAACCTCTTCCAGGTCTCCCACATGGGCAGAGTTCCAGGGCTTTGGGCCATCCTCTCCTGTTTTCCCTGGCCACAATCAGGGAGCTGGATGGGAAGTGGAGCTGCCGGGATTAGAACTGGCGCCCATTTGGGATTTTGGCATGTTCAAGACGAGGACTTCAGCTGCTAGGCCACCGCCCCAGCCTCTCAGGTGGCATCTTAAAATAGCAGACCAAATGCTAACCCCCTAAACAAACTTTTAGTAACGTTTTTCTTAGCAGGACATGTAGAATGCTTTTGCCAAGGAGGTTGGGACAGGCAGTTTTTGTACCCTGTGATCAGATGAACTGTCTCTTTCGTCTTTTAAGCTCCCTGTATGTTTTCTCCTGGCCAAGGCCTAGCTTTCCACTAGAAATATTTTAGGGAAATGAGTAGAGGGTTGGGACAGGTAAAACGTTTTAAAAATGATGTAAGTGGTCTGGAGCATTGCCCATTCCTTCCTTGAATCTCTAACTGCAAGTTAGGCTGTGTGCAGGCGCCTCCAGGTTTGATCAAAGTCCGGCTGCTGCCTAATCTCTGGGGGAATTCAGCGGGCAAACACCTCTTTGTAGCGTTTGCCTCCAGGTGCAGGAGTCCCAGCCCCTAACCTCTTTCCTGGCCTCTTTCTTCAGCCAGGGAGGGAAGCTGGGTGAGTAGGAGCCTCTCAGGCTAACTGGAAGGAATTGGGCGTTGCCGGGCGCTGAGCCAGGGATCTGAACCCTGCTGAGCAGGGCAGCTGCGGGCCCCCAGGAGCAGGGCTGGCCGCCAGCTCGCGGGGTTGCTGGCTACCTGGGGAGAGGTTCTCCGGAGGCCCGCGACAACGGGCGGCTTGTTCACTTCGGCTGCCCTCATTCTTCTCCCTCTCTTCATTGTACTCCTCAACTCCCTGTAACTTGACCTCTCACCACGTTCTGCCGTTTGCAGTTTGCTGTCGGCTTCCAATCCCCAGGCTCTCCCTCCTCCTCCTCTGAAACTGCACGAGGTTGAAAGCCAACCGAAAAGGTCAAGTTTGCTGTATTTTTTCCCTCCCTTTCTTTCTCAGGCTCCTGGGGCTGAACTCTAGTGACCTACACAGGAAAGGCCGTCTCCTCGCCCCACAGCCATTTGAAAGGTCTCCAGCCCCTCTGAGTCCAGGTTGCTTGCTGTCCTCTAGAATGAAGCTGTCCACTGCACTGTGTCCCGACGTGCTTGTTCCAAGGCATTCTTGGTGGCACGCACGGGACTCATTTCCATCCCGGGTGGCCTCTGGGGTTCTCTACTCCAACAATGACTTTCTGTTCGTCGCCACCTGTTTTTTGTTTTTTGTTTTTTTTTTTTTTTTTTTTGCTCCATGCCTGTGTCATCTGCCCAATGTGCTTCTGTTTTCCTCCTTTTTCTTCTGTAATCTGCTTCTCTTGGGGGGTGATATTTTTCTTGATGTTTTGTTTTTCACTCCGCCTGTTCCCTGCTTCTCCTCTTGGCAACTTCTGGGTCTCAGGGTTCAGTTAGGAGAGTTCATGAATCAAAGTATCTAATGGCTAATCGGGGAGAAGGGCAAAGCTTTCTCAGCTCGGAGTCACACTGCTGGTCTAACCCCTTCTTAACAGCAAGCGTAGTCCCCGCCCTGCTCCTCCCTTCATTGGCAACAAGTACCCACCCTCTTCGCAGATTCCTGGGAGGCAGCTTTTCTCATTTGAATTTTCATGAGTAATGGCAGACAAAACCCGGTGCACAGTTAATAAAAAAAAAAAAAAATCTTTTCCTGGAGTTTCCTCTACAGGTGTTACTTTGACTTGCACAAAGTCAGGGTTTACTCTTAAGAGCCAGGAAAGTTCTAGTTTTGCCACCTATTGGCTGCTTGCCCCTGGAGGCGGGGCAAGATGGGAAAGGAGGGTTTTTTGCCTTCCCTAGGACACTTTCTCAACATCCAAGCTGATAAAACGGGAACACTTCACTTGAATGCTGTGGAAGTGAAGTCGTCGTCAGGAAGGCAGGTTGTCACGTAGTGGGTAAAGCAGCGGATGCTGGCTTAAGTACTTGGGCTCCTGCCACACGCACAAGAGATCTGGCTGGAGTTCTTGGTTTTGTCCTGGCTCAGCCCTGTCCATTGTGGCCATTTGAGGGTGAACGAAAGCTCTATCTCTGCTCCTCCTCCCTTCTGTGTGACTAATTTTCCAGCAAACAAATAAATATTTACTCCAAGAAATGAAAGAAAGGCATGTTAGACTTTGCACTGAAATGGAGGATGAATGAGTGGGATTCTGTTTTTAAAATTTATTTTTATTTTTTCTATTAATTTTTTTATTAGAAAGATATATAAAGAGGAGAGACAGAGAGGAAGATCTTTCGTCCATTGATTCACTCCCCAAGCAGCTGCAACAGCCAGAGCTGCACCGAATCGAAGCCAGGAGCCAGGAGCTTCCTCCAGGTCTCCCAAGCGGGTGCAGGGTCCCAAGGCTTTGGGCGAGGACTTCAGTCGCTAGGCTACTTTGCCGGGCCACAGGGGATTCTTTATATCCTGCAGAAGTAAGGATTGTGACATGATGAGATTTGACTTGCAAAGTTTGTGTTCAGCTCAGTCTCAGGGAAAGCTACAGTTTAGTCAAGGGGCAGAAATCCTAGCATTACATTCAAGTAAAATCGAGTGTAGCAGGGCTGGGAATTCTGATTGCAAAGGAATTCTGACTCTGAGCTGTCTTGGGTTAGTTTGCCCCCCCCCCCGCCCCCCGGGGGCTATAACCTGGGGCGTGCTAGGTGGTTTCACTTCCCAAGATGCGTAAAGCGTCCTTTAAGAAGGGCGTGTGTGAGCCAAACTCAAAGCAGCCTGGGACATTTCCATCAGGCACCACCTCTTCTGGCTGTTTCCCGAGGCCGTCCAGGGGCCAGAGCACAGTCTGATGAGCTAAAGGCAGAGGTAGGAACTGCTGACTGCTGGATAGAGGGTGAGGGGGAGGGAGGCGCAGGACGCCTGGAGCTCGAGCCCCACCTTTCATTCCTGCACTGAGCCCCGGGCCAGCGGCATGACTCAACGGGCGCTCAGATTCCCATAGGTGAGGGACTCGGCTCTTTCCCCCGCGAGAACGCCGTCCGTGCTTGCTCCCAGAGTGGCCCTGAGTGTGTCGGCGCGCCCCGTCTGCCCGGTCTGGTCTCTGGAGGCCAGCCTGGGTTTCCCTCATGTATGGCAAGAACCCCACGCGCGTGTTTTTGCTACTCCTTGGCTTACAGCTCACAGGTAAGAGCCGCGGGGCTTCGCTCAGCGTTTCTTCCTTCCACCCTGCCTTGTAAAGTGAACGCAAGGTAGGAGTTTGGGAGCTTGAGCCGCAGGTGCAGTTAGTTGGTTTTGGTGGACTCCAGAAGCCCAGGGCGGTGGGGTTTTTTTTGGGGGGGGGGGTAGGGGACAGGGAAGTGAGTGGGAGGCGGAAAGCTTTGGGACAAACAGGTTTAGGTGAGCTCAGGCACTGAGCAGGCTTTCTGATCTCAGGTTACACACTTTTTTTTTTTTTGTGGCCACTCAACTTTCTGCTGCTGGCAGGACTCCGTATGATTTTGGATTTCAGGCTGCGGGTCTTGTCTGGGACTCTTGAGGCATTGGGAAAACCGATCGTTAAAAGCAGAGAGAGAGAGAGAGACTTGCTGTGGTTGTTTCTGAACTGCTCCAACCACACACATTTTAATGTAAATATTACGGCAAAAATGCCTCGTGGCATGGCAGTTCCAGGGGTGCAGGCAGGCATAGGCTGTCTGGAGCTGATCAATTCCATTTCGATAGGAGTCCAGTTACAGCAGGAAATCCACATGACAAGGACCACTTCTGGAAAGCAACCTCCTGAAAGCCATTTTATGCATTATACTTAATGCTTAATCTTAATGCAGAACAACATGGCTAATCAGTGTTTTATTTTTTTTTGCCGGTGTTGGCAGTTTGTTGTACCAGCTTGAAGGTGGTACGGTGATGGTCAGGGCTGGGTGTGGTATTTGTAGTCATGGGATGGAATGGGAGGGTTGAGGCTGAGAATGCGAACTGAGAAGTTGGCCTAAGTTATGGGCAGCGACTCTGGGTGAAGTCAGAATGAGAACCGGCCCACAGTCCACCCTTCCCTGACATGTCGTTTCAAAGCATCTGTGCGAGCTATTCCCAATAACCCTGCTTTCCCTTCACTGCAGCTCACTGGCCTACGGCGGCGGCTGTGGAAATTTACACCTCCCGGGTGCTGGAGGCTGTTAACGGGACTGATGCACGCTTAAAATGCACTTTCTCCAGCTTTGCTCCTGTGGGCGATGCGCTCACGGTGACCTGGAATTTTCGTCCTCAGGATGGAGGACCAGAGCAGTTTGTGAGTAGATGGGAATGTCACTTTCCTGGGGACCCTTGGTTAAGAAAATGCTAAGCCAGTCCATCTCTCTGGCCCTCCCTGTGTTTTCTGTAGCTGTAGGCACAGGGTTCAGCTGGGAAACAATTGTGGATGCAGAGAAAGAGAAGAGAGAGAGAGAGAAAGAGGGAGAGAGAGGGAGAGAGAGACAGAGACTGACAGAGACAGAAATGCCAGGAAGGAGCAGTGGGACTGAAGCCAGGACAGTTGGGTATGTTTTTTCCTTTGCTTTCCCCATCTTATTTATTTTTTAATTATTTTTATTGGAAAGGCAGATCAGATTTTCAGAGAGAAGGAGAGATGGAAAGATCTTCAACAGCTGGAGCTGAGCTGATCTGAACCAGGAGCCAAGAGCTTCCTCCGGGGTCTCCCATGTGGGTGCAGAGTTCCAAGGCTTTTGGCCATCCTCTAGTGCTTTCCCAGCTCACAGGCAGGGAGCTGGGAAGTAGAGCAGCTGGGACAGGAACCAGCACTCAGATGGGATCCTGGGCGCTCTGAGGTTGTGGATTTAGCCATCGAACCATCATACCAGGCCCTGTTCCCCATCCCCCCCCCATCTTAGCCTTCTCACTGCAGGCAGGATAAGCAAGATCTTTTGGCATCTCTCCCTTCTAGGTATTCTACTACCATGTGGATCCTTTCAAGCCCATGAGCGGGCGGTTCAAGGACCGGGTGGCCTGGGACGGGAACCTTGAGCGCTATGATGTTTCCATCTTGCTCTGGAAGCTGCAGTTCGATGATAATGGGACATACACCTGCCAGGTGAAGAACCCACCTGATGTGGATGGGCTGATTGGGGAGATCCGGCTGAGCGTTGTGCACACTGGTAAGTTACATGAGGGGGAAGATGGCTCTGGGAAGTGGTGAGAAGTGACAGATAAAGAGGGACAGTCTTCTGTGATGGTTGGATTGGTAGCAAGGAGGGGCTGGTACTTCAGAGCTGAACTGAAGAGCTTTGGGGGTAAAAAGAGAAAGGCTTTGTTTACTCGAGGAAAAAAAACAGAAAGGCACAAAGGGGTCCAGGGAATCTTTGACAAAAATGCCATTGAAGTTGTGAAAGGCAGAGGAAGTGACATGCTGATAAAAGATGCACAATGGATCTGTTCATTCTCTCAGTTGTTTAAGAAGGCTTATGGAGTACTCGTGGCCAGGAACTGCCCCAACTGCTACACAAGGACTATCTGACTTACTGCTTATACCACTCCAGGAGGCAGATCCCCGAGATGGTAGCCAGTGTGCACTGAGTACCTTCCATGGTTCAGGGGCTGTACATGACACAGTTCATTTCCACTGATAGTGTACGTAGTGCCTTCTGTTTCATCAGGGAGGAAACTGGAACTCATACCCAATCGTTTTTACTCTGAAATTGTGCACTAGCACGTGGCAGTTCCTGCAACCTAGGTCATGAGGCATAAACTGGAACCCTTCTGAAAAACAGATCTCTGAGTCATTGCTACCACTTCACAGCTAGATGTAAAGCTAATGTCCATCCTCTGTGATGTGAGAGCGACATAGCCAGGAGCCTAGTGAGCCTAAAACATAAACATTTCCCAAGTTCTGAATTGTAATGAAAATGATCATAGCACAGCATGGACCCATTTGGATGAACTATTAAATTTTTATAAGAACCCAAGAAATGGATATTGCTATATTCATAACTGAAGATACTGAGACCAAAATTAGTTAGTTACTCTGAATCACACACCTGGTAAATGGGAGAGCTGGTATTTGAAACTACACGTTAACCAGCACATGATGTTATTACCTTCAATATATAAGTCTGTAAAGTGATAAGAGGTCCATGTCCTCTAATTCCTATCGGCAACTTATGGCTTTACATCTACTGTTTCGCTCCTCAAAAGCCCCAGTTAGCCAGGGCTGGGAGCAGGGCCAGAGCAGGAATTGGAGCTGGGAGCCAGGAACACAATCCAGGTTTTCCACATGGGTGGTAGAGCTACAGTCACTTGAATCATCATGGCTGCCTCCTCTCAGGGCCTGCATTATCAGGATACTAGTCAGGACCCAGAGCTGCAGAGTGAACCCAGCTACTCCAGTGTGGGATGTGGAATCTTGTCTGGTTGGCCAAATGCTCTCCCTTCTAGTGCAGTTTAAAACCATCCCCCAAGGCTCTATCAATAAAGAACCGTGTGGCCTTGGAGAAAGGAAGTCATTTGAATACTGCCAGAAGTAATAATGCCCTTGAACCTCAGCATCTTCAATTACAAAATGAACAAGTTGGACAAGAAATACTTAACCACATCAGGGTCACTACTCTTTGAGAATCTAATCAAAGCCCTGAGCCAATTCCCACAAAATGGAGATCAATCAAATTTCTTTTTCTTTCTTTTTAAGAAAAAAGATTGATTTATTTTTTATTTGAAAGGTAGATTTTACAGAAAGGGAGAGGAGAGACAGAGAAAATCTTCGATCCTCTGATCCACCCCCCAAATGGCCACCAAGGCTATAACTGAGCTGTTCCAAATCTGGGAGCTAGGAGCTCTGGGTCTCCCATGTGGGTGCAGGGTCCCCATGGGTTTGGGCCATCTTCTGCTGCTTTTCCAGGCCATAACTAGAGAGACAGATCAGAAGTGGAGCAGCAAGAACACTAGCTGGCACTCAAATGGGATGCTGGCACCATGGGATGGATTAGCTTGATGGCCTAACTCATAAGCCCGATAATATAGAGTTGTGGGCTTGTAGATAACTCTCCTCCCTCACTCTCCGTTAACTCCAGGCCGAAAACCTCTGGGCTAGACATTTATTTTTTATTTATTTTTAAAAAAGATTTATTTATTTTTATTGCAAAGTAAGATATACAGAGGGGAGGAGAGACAGAGAGGAAGATCTTCCATCCGATGGCTCACTCCCCAAGTGACTGCAGTGGCCAGTGCTGTGCTGATCCAAAGTCAGGAGCCAGGAACTTCCTCCAGGTCTCCCACGCGGGTGCAGGGTCCCAAAGCTTTGGGCCATCCTTGACTGCTTTCTCAGGCCACAACACAAGCAAGGAGCTGGATGGGAAGTGGAGTTGCCGGGATTAGAACCGGCGCCCATATGGGATCCCGGGGCATGTTCAAGGTGAGGACTTTAGCCACTAGGCCACCGCGCTGTGCCCTAGACATTCATTTTTTAAAGAAAATATTTATTTTTGATATCAAAGGCGGATTTTACAGAGAGAAAGAGAGACAGAAAAAAAGATCTTATATTTGCTGGTTTTCTCTGCTCTCCAGATGGTTGCACTGGCCAGAGCAGAGCTGTTTTGAAGCCAGGAACTTCTGGGTTTCCTATGAGATTGCAGGGCCCCAAGGCTTTGGGCTGTTCTATGCTGCTTTTCCTAGGCCAGGAAAAGCAGGTTGCTGAATGGGGAGTGGAGCAGCTGGGACATGAACCGGAGCCCATATGGGATACTGGTGTTTGAAGGTGGAGGACTAGCTTGTTGAGCTACAATGCCAGTCCCTGGATTGGTCATTCTTTAAGGTTCTTTCTCGCTCTGAGCACTTACTGAAATTTTAATTAGAAATCAAGATAAAGGACAAGATCAGCATTCCTCAGAGTGTTGTATACAGGAATTCCTGGGTTACTGGATTTAGTTACGGATTCACCACAATGCCTGGAATACAGTAGGTCCTTAATACATCTAAACACATGGCTGACTGCATGACAGAGGTGAGACAGAGTCAGAGAGAAATGGGTTGGTCGGTAGATTTGACTAGGTTAGCAATAAACTTACCCCTTCAGGTAGTCCAACCAGTACTCAGAACTGCAGGTCATCCTAATTCCCTGAGGGACAAGCTCAAACACATCCTGGGTGCCCCTCCCCCTGCCCCAGTGTTTCTCACTCCTGAAGTGTGAGGTGGGCCCTGAGAATTTGTATCCAGTTTTTTTAGGTGAGGCTACAGCTGTCACTCCAAGAACCACACTTGGAAAATCACTCAAATGGGCAATGAGACTTCCCTAATGCTCCTAAGGTTGACAAGGGAGGGTGGTATTTTATCCCTAAAGGAGACAGAAAGGAGGAGCCCACTTCATGACATCTTTAGCTTTCGTCACAGTCAGCTGCACTTTGGAGCCAGACTTGATCCCTGCATGTTTCTCTTCACAGCACGCTTCTCTGAGATGTACTTCCTGGCTCTGGCCATTGGCTCGGCCTGCGGACTGATGATCATCATTGTGATCGGGGTGGTCCTCTTCCAGCATTTCCGGAAAAAACGATGGGCCGAAGAAGCTAATAAAGTGGTGGAGATACACTCGTAAGGCGGGGCAGTTCCGGGAAAAATGTTCTAACACTTTCCTACCATGACTGTTGATACTGGCATTCTGCAAGGGGGCTAAAGAATTGTTGCAAACAGATGTTTTTCCCCTTGAGTAAATCCTGAATTGGAGAATTCCAGATCAGAAGCAGGGTAAATTAGGTTGCGAATAGTGACCCTAGGAAAGGTCTCTTCGTTTCACAAAAGACTTCATCGTAGGATTTTTTTTCCCCCATGTGAGATGTGGTGTTATAAAAACCTGCTTATGTGAAGCTTTTCTAAAATAATCCCTTACTTTTCCAGTGAATCATATGTTTGTAAGAACTACTGGGCTAGACAGGTAACTGTGAATCAGTGTTTAGGAAACTGCTGTGTTGACAGTAGGTGTTCATACTGTCAAATTCAGATAAATTCACATACCGTGGAATTTACCCTCTTAGTATTCCCAAAGTGTGCAACAACTGTTAATTCTGGAGATTTTTAAACCTTCTCTCCACAGGAAGTTCCATATCCTTTAATCCTTACTTTCCTATAAGGATTTACCTATTGTAGACATATCATATTAATGGTAGCATAAAATTTGTGGCCTTTTTCCCCCTTAAAAACTCACTTACTTCTTTAAAATTCATAGTGACACAGAGAGAGAGAGAGAGAGAGAGAAAGAGAGAGAGAGAGAGAGAGAGAGATCTTTTGTGAGCTGGTTCATTCTCCAAAAGCCATAACCACCAGGTCTGAGCCAGGAACTCCACTGGGGTCTCCCGTGAGAAAAATTGAGAAGTCCAAACCCCTGGGTAACGAGAAGTACCACTAATCAGATGGCACTAGGGGTTTAGCTCATAAGAAGCTGGGCTTTGAGCCCAGTTGCATGTAATTCTTTGCAAAATATTGGGCCGGAAGTGCCTTCCATGTAGCATTGGCCACCTTTTTCTTTCTTGTTGAGCAGACAATTGCTTTCTGCTTCTTTGTTACAGAAAAGAAGAGGAAAGGCTCAACCAAGCAAAAAAGGTGTCAGTGTATTTGGAAGATATAGATTAACATTCCTAGAAGGTAAGGTCCACAGACAGCTCCCGATCCAGCTGGGCCAGCTCTCATGTGACTTTCCCAGGTCACTTTGTAAGGTTTACCAGACTGCGCTTGTCCCTATGAAAGCAGAGAAGTTAGGTCAGCAGAGAAAAGTCTTACATTAGTCAATGGGTGCTCTTCCTTGAGAGTTTTTTGTGTAAAGCATTAGGAAGCTAGACTCAACTACCATTAAAATTGAGAGAACTGTTAAAAAATGTTAAAAAAAATGTTAAAAAATTTGAGAGAATTGTAAAGTTACTTGGGTGTTTGGGGTTATATTTACTATCATCATCAATAATTGTTTTTTAATGGAAAGATTAGTACTTAAAAAAGATTTATGTATTTTTATTTAAATAAAATAAGTTACAGGTAGAGAGGGAGAGACAGAAAGTCAGAGAGGTTTTCATCTGCTGTTGCATTCCCCACATGGCCACACTGGTGGAAGCTGGGAGTTAGGAGCTTCTTTTGAGTCTTCCACAGGGGTACAGGAGGCCCAAGGACTTGGGTCATCTACTGCTTTCTGAGGTGCATTAGGGAGCTGTATGGGAAGTAGAGCACCAGGGCTCAAATTGATGCCATATGGGATGCCAGCGCCACGGTAGAGGCTTATGTTGCTATGCATGGTGCTGGCCCTTGGTTTTTAAAATTTATAAGCCAATCCTAACATTAATAGAGTGATTTAGTAGATATGCCTGACAGTCTGAAAGAATATTTGTATGATTTGGAATTGATTTCACTGCCTCCTCTCATTTAGAAATTGAAACTATGAATCTGTGCCCAGTGTGATGGCTCATTGCCTAATCCTTCCCTTGCAAGTGCTGGGATCCCATATGGGTGCTGGTTCATGTCCCAGATGTTCCACTTCTCATCCAACTCCCTGCTTATGGTTTGGGAAAGCAGTAGAGGATGGCCCAAAGCTGTGGGAGACCCAGAAGAAGCGCCTGGCTCCTGGCTTCGGATTAGCTCAATTCTGGCCATTGCAGCTACTTGGGGGAGTGAGCCAGTGGGTGGAAAATATTTCTGTCTTTCCTTCTCTGTAAATCTGACTTTCCAATGGAAAAAAAAAATCTTAAAAAAAAGAAAAATTGCATTCACAGTCTCAGCTCTTCTGTATCTTTGATTTTGCTTAATTTTGTTTAATGGGGGAGGATATGAAATGTTTGTGTGTGAGCCATCATCCAGGTGAACATGCAGGGTACTTAGAAGCAATGGGCCTTATGGCACAGAGGTTTAGTTGTTGCTTGGGACATGCACATCCCATATCCAACTGTAAGTTTTGGTTAGTTTGCTTCTGATTCAATTTCACCAGCACCTGCCAATGATTCCCTGCTTCCCACATAGGAGACTCAGATGTGGAGTTCCGGTTCCAGGCCTCCATCTGGCCCAGATCTTACAGTTGCAGGTATTGGCAGAGTGAACCGGTGAAAGGATTTCTGTGTGACTTTGCCCTTGATATAAATAAGCAAACAAAGTAAAAAAAAAAAATTTGTTGGAGAGGCAGGTTTACACAGAGAGGGAGTGACAGAAAGATTTTTATTCAATGCTTCACTACTCAAATAGCTGCAATATGAGAGCTTAGGTGATCCTAAACCAGGAGCCACGATCTTCTTTCAGGTCTCCCCCATGAGGGCAGGGTCCCAAGGCGGTGGCCTATCTTTCACTGCTTTCCCAGGCCACAAGCAGGAAGCTGGATGAGAAGTGGAGCAGCAGGGACAGGAAGTGAAACCCATGTAGGATGCCAGCACTTGGAGGAGATGGAGGATTACCCAGTTGTGCCAACACACTGGCCCTTTAAGCAAATAAAACTTAAAAACGAACAAATAAGCAAAACAAAAACTTTAGGGAGAACACAAGAAAATTTTTCTTCACAATGGACAACAGATTTAATTATATATGTGTGTGTGTGTATGTGTGTATTCACCATACTAGAGACTACACTCTTCTTAAATAAACTACCCATTTAAAATTTTTGCTTTACATTTTAGGAAGCTGAAGGTTTCCAAGAACAAGATCCCTGGTAGTCCTTAAAGTTAATGGAAACACGGCTTTGGCTTTTCCCTTGTGACATGTTTTCTAACCAGTCCTGCAGCAGAGAACCACCTAGATAAGCAACAGGCGCCTGGAGACGCTCCAGGACTCTTCCTGAACAAACACCACCAGATTCACAAGCCTCACGGAGGAGGTTTTATTTGACTGCAGAGTACACATATTGCTCAAATGCTCAGTAGCTTTTGAAAACTGAGAAGCCACTTTTTTGTTCCTAATCCTGATCCTTCAGGATTATGACTTATGTATCCATTTATTAACAGTCAATCCTAAACTCAAATTGTCAAAACAGCAGCTGGATTTTTATGGTTCACCTTTAATAGGGAACACAACTTTCACTGGATTTCTTTCAACGTCTCAGAACACAACTTTCACTGGATTTCTTTCAACGTCTCAGGCGACAGGTTTTGTTTTTGTTGGTCACTCCAAGGCTTCCAATAGCACGAAGTCCAAGTTACGTAACAATCACACAGAGTTCCGGACAGGATTGTAGCCGGGCAGTGCCACTTGAGGATGACTCATTTGTCTGTCACCTTTTGTCTGTGTTATGGCAAGTAATCAAGAGCAGAGATTCTTTTGTTGACAGAGGTTCACTATGCTTCCCTGCCTTGACTGAGTGATCTACAACAACAGATCCAAGTCTGTGTTCATTCGCACTCTGGAATCATTCGGGAGTCGCACAGAAGGCTTCTGAAGTACTTTATTATGTGCTCAAAAAACTGAGGGTATAAGCTGGTGGTGAAAAAAACCCAACTCCTAAGTGATCATCTTGCACAGTTGTTCACGAAGCTCTAACTGGAAGAGATGACTTACATTCCTTTTTTTTTTTTTTTCTGTATCGAAACTACTTTAATGGAATGAATTTTATTCTTTGTCCCTTTAAATTCTTAGGTAAAGCAGCCTGTCAGTGGGCTAACAAACACTACCATTTACAAAGTGCCTAGTTTCTTTCTAAACTTAAATTACAGCAGCATTTATTTAAAAGATAGAAAATATCTGAAAATTTAAGGGCTTGATCCAGTCTTACAGCTTGGTATTTTCAGTTTTTACTTTTCTTTTTTACTGGCTGGACTGCAGCTGTTATTTCTTATTAATGAACTAGAATTTTCAAATAGATTATCTGTAGTTAAAGGTGCTGGGTCTTGATTTGTCTTCCAATAGTATGCTTTTAAAAAAAAAAATTACATTTTCTAAAATGTGTTACAGATCTGTCTCATTGTCTTTTACCCTGTTTGAAACACTAAAATTTCAATACCCAGCTTTGAAATAGAAGATTAGATTGGAAGTTTGTACTACCTTTGACCTACATTTATTTTTCTTTGCAATTCAACCTTTGAAAATATAACTGGATATTTCTTCAAGCAGGCGGCGTGGATGGTGTTCTGTAAGTGTAATGAAGAAGCACAAACTCATGGAGAGTTTTGCCAGCAACAGATGATACATATCAAGGGATAACATGGCCCTTGTTGTTTAGTGTCTCTTTAAAAGTGTACTTTCATATTGTAATTTATTTTTATTATGCCTTAAACATATGTAAATAAACCTTTAACATAAAGAATTATCAATGACCTATTTGCTTATATACAAACCTTTAAAAATTTATACAGCTGATAACAGCAAACAGATGGTTATATATTTTAGCTTCATTAAAAGTATTGTTACTAGAAACAACCTGGAAGTTAATAAGGGATGGAATTTCACTGAACAAATGAAAGCTAGGGATAGCTGGGAATGCAGTGTAGCACTGTGGCGTAATTTGAGTCTTCTGAAACAAAACAACACAATTTACTCTGTCATTTCTTTATGGAGAAAACTACCAACTTTTAAGTCTACTGAAAGGGAGGGAGATGAAAGCTGACAAGTTATTAAATCTCCCCCACAAAACTGATGCATGCTTTCATTTCCCATCTGGTTTGACTAAACGTAGGGACAATTCCAGAGAACAGATTAATTCAGTACTGAGCAGGGCTCTGTGCCACCCGTACCTCTCTGCAGAGGGATGCTCCACCACCACCACTGAACCCTGGGTGACTTGGCAATGGTAGCTTTAATAAACTCCCAATTCAGGAGGTTCTAATAGATACAGTTTAAAAGGACAGGAGCCAAAGGAATTTCATGTCCATACTGACCACAGGCCTGAAATATGTTTATTGACTGATCTGGTATGATCTTGGTTTGTCTGAACTCTTAAACTGAAGGCAATGTAGTCTGAGTTTCACTAACTCTCAAGAGGCAAACACAAAACACCCAAAGCTCCACACTAGAACCCAAAGAATCAAGATTATTTCGTCCTGCAGAGTTGAATAAACATCAAATTAGATTTTGCAGTCTTAGCTCCCACCTAAAAGGTAATGCCTCGTAGGTGGGGGAAACCAGGTGTGGTCTTGGAGCGACGCCACGTTCCCATGGCAACTACCGGGCGCCATCTTAAGTAGTCCCTTGGCTTCCCGTCACTTCCGGTGTCACCTGGCTGGCTCCCGGGAGCCGTAAACAAGGTGTGCAAACACCTGGCGAGCAGTCGGGATGCAGCAGAGAGGAGCCGCTGGAGCCCGTGGCTGCGCGCTCTGGCCACTGCTGTGCGCGCTGTTCCAGAGTGAGTGCCTCGGCTGGCAATATTCCACTTCCGGTCGGGGGGGCAGTTAAGGGAAGATGGTCGCTTTTCCGGTTCCGGGTAGGGGTGGTCTCAGGCAAGCCCCTGCTTGACGTTGGGGTGCGGGTGGATGGGAGAGGATGGCTGGGCTGTGCTGGCTTCCTCCGCCGCGCTGAGGCGTCGGCGCCCGGAGCCCGACCGCCTCGCGTGCTTTGGCTTGGGGTTGTGGCCACGGCCGAGAGCTCGGGGCGACCACAGCGGGCGCTGCCTTGCGGGGGCGTGTGGCCTCTGGTTTTGGGGTGGAAGCAGCAGCAGGCTCTGCAGGGGTTCGCTGCGCTCTGTGATAAGGGCGATGCTTGTAGTCGATATTAAACTGCAGTTATTGTAGGAGCGGAAATCATGGCTGTTGATAATTTTGATTTTTTGTAAGTGATTTTCAGAGGCTTTGAAAGAAAATGTTCATGGATCAAGAAAAGAATGTGATGTGATTTCATTGTGATAAACATGCTGTTAAGGGAAAAAGTAACCTGTTTAGCATTTTAATGACAAGTAAACAAAATCCGGGAGAAAGGACGTATGAATTCTGTTCAGTTTTCAGTTTTTAAACTAGTACCAGAAATACAGTATTTTCCTGATGACATAATCTTTGACGATTGAATAGGTTTTGCCTTCATGCGATTTTCAAATTGCATACATTTCAATCCAACCTAATTATGTTCATATTTAGGATGCGATCCCCACCCCATCCCCCGGATTTTGCTGGTGCTGTGTCTTCCTGGGAAATCAGATATTAATATAGCATTAAAGTGAATTGTGAGCTTCATGCTATTTCCCTGTTGTGTAATGGGGATTTCTGAAAGGGATCTTAAATATTACACACACAGACTTCAGATGTCCTAAATCTCAACAGGTAGGACTGGGAAATTTCATTTATTTGGTGACTAATATTCATACTCCCAATACACTCCCTGCTCCCTCCCAGCTACTTGCGTTGCAGTATCCAGTTTTTCAGCTTGTTCTTTTTTGCAATATAGTATTTACTCTGGCCTATGTGTCATTCCAAAGGAGAGTTCTCTATCTCACGTACACAACCATGGGAGATGCTGAAATATTGTCCTGTTGAGAAAAAAAAATTCTGAAAGTGGTTTTTTCCCCCTCATTTCCCATTGACGATAATTTTTCCAATCTGGCAGACTGAGTAATTCTATCAAATATTAAAGTTAATTTTATAATGTCTATGTAATTATTGAACAGGTTAATCTTTTGCCTTTTAAAAACTTAGAGAAATATATTTCATATGCCATAATATTTACCCTTCGTATACCATTGTATGCAATCCACCAACTTTAATATTCATAGCTATGAAAGCATTACCACAATACATTCTAGAACATTTTCTTTCATCACCTATAAGAGAAGCCATATAGCCATTCTTGCCTTCCCCAAGTAACTGGGAACTACCAGTGCTCTTCCCATGTCTATTGTTTTTGCTATTCTCTACTTTTCATATAAATGGAATCATATAGTATGTATGTGTTTTTACTAAATTTTACTTAATATGCTTTCAAGTTTCATCCTTTTATTTTTTGGTCTTTGTAAAAATTACCTGGAAGGCAGAGAGGTAGAGATTTTCCATTCCCCAGTTGTCTGTAACAGCTAAGGCTGCACAATCAAAACCCAGAACCAATGCAGGACTCCTTTGTGGGTGACAGGGACCTGCGTTTGGAGCCCTCATCTGCATCCTCCCAGGCTGCACATTATCAGGGAACCTCAGTTGGAAGAAGAGTGGCAGGGGCCTGGACCAGGCAGGGTATGAGAGCATCCTGAGCGGCACCTTAACCACACTGCCCAATATCTGCCCCTGGTATTGCTTCTGAATTTGCTAGGTAATAAACTTTGATTTCATACTAGTATTTACATGTCTTCTTCCGAAAGGACTTTGAAAATTACTAGCTTGTCTGAATTCTCCTTGAGTTATATGTCTCTTCTTGCTATATCAGATGCCTAATTATGTTGAAATGATAGAGTAGGAGTCTTGGATTCTTCACTTTTTAAGATTTTTTATTTAAGTGTGTAATTATGTGAATCAAAGATGGGCAGATTTTTTTAAAAAAAGCTGATTTTTCTATTTTAAAGGATTTATTTATTTGAAAGCCAGAGAGGGGACGACAGAGATTTTCGTTCAGAGATTTTCATTAACTTACCATATGCCTCCCATGGCCGAGACTGGCAATGTGATGCCAGAAGCCAGAAATTTCTTTAGGATCTCTTGCCTGGGTGGCAGGAACTTAGCAGCTTAACTACTTGGACCATCCTCTGCTGCCTTTCCAGGCAAATTAGCAGGAAACTAGATCAAAAGCAGAGAAGCCAGGACTCCAATGTGAATACAGGCATTCCCACTGGGAGCTTAACCTACTGCAGCACAACGTGTGTTCCTGGCAGTTTATATTTTGGAAAATGGAGTATATAACATTTGGAGTATAAAATGAATAATGGAGAAAATGGAGTATAAAACATTTGTTTTGACATGTTCATCTAATTTTTTAAATGTGTAAAATTACTTGTGTTAAATTGTAATTTTGTCTTAGGTTAAATTGTTAATTATGGCTATCTCAGTAGTTTTCACTTGGCAACAGTGTTTTTTGGTTTTGTTCTGTTTTCTACTCGGGTGAAAAGCTAAATAGCTGCAAGGACCTTAGGCCTTGGGTGCAAATTTCTGAATGGATTTCATGTTAGAAAATTGTTTTTCTTGTTCCATCCTTATGAGTGGAAGAGACAAACTAGCATTCATTGATATTTAAAACCTTTTCGTTTCAATATCACCTATCTACGGGAAGGAACACATGTAAAATGTAGAACTCAAATGAATTTTTAGAAATTAAGCAAAACTGAATAACTGACAGCTGAATCGGGTTCTAGAATATTCTTGACATCCTAGAAGCCTTCCTTGCTCTTCCTTCCAGCGTTATCCCACTCCCTCCAGAGGAACCAAACTCCGGATTCAGAGTGTAAATCAGCTTAGTTCACCACAGATCTTCATTGTCTATAACTGCTTTTTAAACTTTTTTTTTTTTTTGGTAAAAATTTAAAAAGCTTTTGCATTAAAAAAATTTATGTGGGGGCAGATGGAAATAGAGATTGTGATAGAAAGAGGCAGAAAAAAGAAAGATAGGGAGAGAATCTATCTGGTGGGCTTCTCTCCAAATGCCCGTGGCAGCTGGGACAGGGTCTGGAGTGCAGTTCAGATCTTACATATTGTGGCAGGAGATGTGGCTTCCATCTCTCAAAGTCAGCTTAGTGGGCAGCTGGTGTCAGGGGCCAGACCTGGTTATAGAACATAGGTTTTCTTACAAGCTAAATGCTTACCCCTTTCACTATGTATTTTTTTTAAAAGATGCATTATTATTTAAAAAATTTCAAATAAATGCACAGAGGGAAAAGGAGAGATAGAGTGAGAAAGATCTTTCATCTGCCAGTTTACTCCTCAAATGGCTGCAATGAGCAGAATTGAGCTGGTATGAAGGCAGAAGCCAGGAGCTTGTTCTGGTCTCTCAAGTACTTAGGCCATCCTCTATTGCCTTCCCAGGTTGTTAGAAGGGAGTTGCCTTAGAAGTGGAGTTACTGGGATTCCAACTGCTGCCCTTATGGGATGCTGGCATCACAGGCTCCTGCCGATATTAATTGTTTAAAAAAAAGATTTATTTATTTTTATTACAAAGTCAGATATACAGAGAGGAGGAGAGACAGAGGAAGATCTTCCATCCGATGATTCACTCCCCAAGTGGTTGCAACAGCCGGTGCTGCGCCAATCTGAAGCCAGGAACCAGGAACCTCCTCCAGGTCTCCCACATGGGTTCAGGGTCCCAAGACTTTGGGCCATCCTCCACTGCTTTCCCAGGACACAAGCAGGGAGCTGGATGGGAAGTGGGGCTGCTGGGATTAGAACCGGCGCCCATATGGGATCCTGGTGCATTCAAGGTGAGGACTTTAGCCGGTAGGCCATCATGCCAGGTCCCAATATTCATTTTTTAAAGACTAGTTTTATTTGTTTGAAAGCCATAGTGACACAGAGAGGGAGAAAGGGATGAAAGTAGGAAGTGGAGAGAACAGGGGGAAAAAGAAAAGGAGGCAGTAGGAATGCGGAAGTTGGGGGGGAAGAGAGAGAGAGACAGAAAGAGAGATACCAGTTATTCATCTGCTCCATCCAGGTCTCCTGCATGTGCGGCTGGGGTCCAAGTACTGGAGCCATCCTCCACTGCTTTCCCAGAAACAGCAGGCAGTGGATCAGAACTGGGGCATCCAGGACTGGAACTGACTCTGGTGTAGGATACTGACGTCACAGGTGGTAGCTTACCCTAATGTGCCTTGTAAGTCTACATTTATGACCTACTTATTTAAATTTTTGGATATCAGTAAAGTGATTTAAAATTTAATATCTTTATGATAAAAAATCTTGCTTATGAATATTGAGGTCAGATATACTGACAAGAGAAGGATTGACACGTAGCTATTATTGTTGATATACTTACTATATTTCAGAAACCAAAAATTCTCAGAACTTATCATTTTGTATTTGATAGTAATTTTGACTTAATTGGATAACGATCACTAAACATCCACATTGTGCTAAGTAAGCTTTGTTTTGTTGAGCGCATGATGTGTTGGAGAAGATGAACAAGTCCAATAATTTGAAAATCGGGTAGTATGAGGGGGACAATAAGATTGGCTCTGTGACATAATGAGTTAAGCCTCTGCCTGCAACACTGGCATCCATTGTGTGTGCTAGTTTGAGTCTCAGATGTCCCATTTTCTGAGCAGTGGTCGTTTGGCAAGTGATCAGTGGATGGGAAATCTCTTTCTTTCACTGTAACTCTGCCTTTCAAACAAATAAATAAATCTTTAAAAAAGAAACAAGTCCAGTAGAAACCAGACATGTAGAGGAGCTGTCCCTGATCTGAGGATTAAGAGAAGACTTCCTCAAGATGTCACTAAAGTTCAATCTT